CAGCCGGCGCACGGTGCCCGCGGAGGGGCGGGGGAGCGCCGAGCCTCTCCCAGCTGGGCTGTGGTGGATGGGTTTCTTTCTTTCAGTACCTCTTCCTGATTCCTTTGTTGCTAGAAACGCCGAAAACCCCATCCATTACAGGTTTCCCTCTGTGCTTTAAAGGGACTCGCGGTTTCTGTGGCGCGGTGCCACGGCTCCCTTACATACGCACGCCCAGCAGCCATGCAGCACCGAGCAGGAAAGATACTTTCTATTCGGTTAATAGCGTTTCAGAACTCACACAAGAAAAAAATGTTGCTTTAAATATTTCGGTTCGTATCGCCAATACATCTCATTTCCATTTTTAGTTATCTAAAACATTTTATATGTGTTTGGTTATAATCTATAAAGCTGGCAAACGAATTTGATATGTACATGAGTGGAATTAGTTTACAAGGAAGGCTTAATGAAATGCACACGCTGAAGTTACAGAAATGGTTGGACGAAATAAAATACAGTTAGAAAATCAGTTCTGACAAAGTGACTTTCAGGGGAAGCTTGTAGAAGCAGGGAACAGAGATAGAAAAGTCTTTGAATTCTGTGAGTCTCCTATATGCAGATTGGCTGAAGAAGATGCGCTAAAGGAGAGTGGGTTTCACACTTAGAAATTTCACACCTAAACCGTGGACATTATAGAGGCTTCACAGAAGTATGGCACGTGAAAGCTGGTCAAAGTCTTTGCTTCCAGCCACAGTGATTTAGTAATGGCTGCAGGATTTCTATGTTAATATGTCTTTACTTGATTAAACAAGCATGTGTTCTCTCTGATTCATACTGGTAGGTCAACTCGTTTCCTATCCTTTTACTGTCCTGTATTGATCTTCATATGAAGAGCAGAACTGGGCTGTGGGAAAAGGTCAGCCCCTGCTTTAAAAACTCAGGTTGAGAGAGCTGAAGCTTTCCCTTCATCCCGTGTGTCTGGGAATGCAGAACTGCAGCATATCCCAACTGTTTCAGTCCCCGGGTTATACAAACCCGAGACATGACAAGGCACTCCGTGTGAGCATGAACCGCCCCTCACCCTGTCTCCTCGCTCCACTGAATCCTCCTGCAAGAAAGCCCTTTTTTGGTAACACTCACCTCACAGGAACAGACTTCTTGGCTCACAAGAGCAGTCTCTATAGTGGGTGTAAACAATAATCACCTTAGATATAATCTAGCCTCAGAAAACCATTTACAGGTGCTGTCAACTCCCTTTATAGTTTGTGAATAGAAAAAGAGGAGAGATTAACATCTGTGACCTGACCAAACTGCTTTTACTCTTACTTGCAGGATACACAGTCGCGGAAATATGTTTGTCTTTCCGTAATGATTAAACTTTGATTTAAACTTTGGTCATGGGCACGTACTGTACCATTACGCAAGCAGCACTTAAGGATGAAGTGTCAGCATAGCAACAATATGGCCAGCAGCAGCAGTGATCTCTGCAAAGCTGATTGATGAAGAGAACTGCAATGTAGATGCAAATAAATGCCACATCGTGGCACCTTCACAGGGAACGAGTTGTCAGTATCAATCTAATCTGGTAAAGAAAAATACATTGAACAGTGTCAATGTAACAAAGCTCCCATCTATGGCAGCGTTGTCCCTGCAAGGGTAGCAGCATGCTTTCCTGCTCACCTTCTGCCTTTCCTCTTTGCCATGCAAGTGGCAGGGCAGGAGTGATCCAGATCGCTCTTGATGGATTTATACTAAACACATCTGGTGTTTATTTAGCTCTGAAATAATCCAGGAATTAATATTAGGTTTGGAGGAGGCAAAGAGGAAGCCCAAACAATGAAACCATTCAGGTGTCTAATCTGGCTAACTGAAAGAAAGAAGCGAGCAAACAAAAAATAGCATAAGAACCCCCCAAACAGTAGCTTGTTTAATGAGATGGAGGGGAGCACAAGGAGGCATGGAGCTGCAGCCGTGAACAATTGCTACCCAGTCACTGCTTTTTGTGCAGGAACGCAAGTCAGCACTGTGGATGCAGCATTAGGGATTCTGTGGAGATTACCCAAAGTTTACAACCTGCCAGTAGTCCCAAGGGGGAAGGAATATAATTTTAACCATCAGAAGTTAAATCTACTAAGTTCTTCTTTGCAGTCCTAGGATAAATACTGCCATCCAATAATCCCTTTCTATTTATTCCTACTACCGTCTTTATTTGGAAGTACGCACATGCACATACAAGTCTGTGTAATATTAAAACAGCAGGTGAAGCTTTGATTTAAATGAAGGAATCAAAATGAACATACAAAACACAGCATGCAGGAGCCGGCCAGCACCTTTCCCAGTGCTACCAGCAGGTACGAGAAGCAGAGGGTGTAACACGCCAAGAAGGACAAAGTGACAAAACCCAGGTGCCTGGCTGCACCCCAGGATCTACTCCGTGCCATTCCCAGGCATAAGGTCCCAAAACATGGGGGTTACTGTTGATCTGGATGAGAGAGGAGTACTGTGGATTATCGATCACCAGTCCAGTGTTAATTATGCAGAATATAGGACAGCCCCAAAATTTGCGAGCAGTAATAATTAGGAGCCTATGATGTCAGCAGCTTGGGAATGAATGGTCTGGTCTGACTCTAAATGCTCATAGCCTGGGAATACGTTTAACTCTTTCCTGCTCGCTTTACAAAGTTTTGGCACTGATCACTGCAGCAGTCCCAGAAGTTGGTTCTTCTGCAGGCACTCACCTACAGGAATTGCTCTTTCCTTACTGGTCAGAACAGTGGCTACAGCTGGAAAAAAATAGAAGAATGAGAAGGGAAGCACACTCTCGAGAGTGTGATTTACATGGATTTACCTCAGAATAGCAAATAAAATAAAATCCATCACAATCAAATGACTGGCTTCAAAACAATGCAGAGATTAGCAGTGAACAGAGCACTCCGTGGTAAAGGGAGTGTATTCGGCAAATCAAAACACAAACACTTCAGGAAGAAGTTGCATAATTTTGTCAAATTAAAAGTTAAACAACATTGTCTTCTACTAGGAGCTGCCAGGAAGTGTCAAAACACTCAGTTGCAAAGAATAGGAGTGTAATTACATGTTTCTGTTTATCGTTTCAGTTCTCATCTCATTATAATTCTGGTTTTTTCCTACCATTCTTCAGGTAGTGAGCCTTGCTGACACACATAGCTTATTGCTTTCCCACCTAGGAACTCTCTTCCTTCCTTCCTTCCTTCCTTCCTTCCTTTGCAGACACATTTCTTAGTGGGTGTTGCCTGTCATTTCCTCCACTTTTAATGGTCCCATTTCCACATTGGTGCTGGAACGTGGAGCCAAGGGCAGCTCTGCTGTCCCCCTGCAACACCAGCCTCTTGCTTCTGCCCTACAAAGCAGTGAGTGGTCCCTCGTTGAGACCCACACCACACTGATTTTCCTACAGCTGTCTTTGAGGTTTGAAAACCTGCCTGGGAGCCTAGATTTCTGTACATTAACCTTTGCCAAATCTTACAGAGCAAAATAAGACACCTATAATTAATTCTGCTCACTCCACAAAGGACTAGAGACTGAGCAGCATGTTTTAGGCTGGGATATGTAGAGGCTTGGTCTTCCGCTGTTGTTATTTTTACTTTATCCCTGGCCTGTTTTCATCTTACATCCTGTGGATGTAGTAAACAATCAACAACAATGAATCAACTAAATTGGTACATTTTTTAATGCTATTCCCACTGAGAGCCACTTGCACTTTTGTGACAGTTAAG